TGTGGATGAAAGCATCCAGTAGGGCGAAAACATCTGTCAAACACCTCGTGTATGCAGGTCCCGAGTATATGTGGAATTTCCCCGCTCGACGTGTTTCGTCCGGCCACCACCCATATATAGGTTCCCCGCCCATCGCGAGACGACAGCTTTCAGCCAGGCTCCCCTGGCTTCGAAACTGGCTTCGGGAAACTGCGAAGCGGCCATTCAGATTGGCCATGCCCACCAATTGGTCGCACGGAGAGTGGTGACGGTTCTCCCGGCGTGCGGACACCGAGTCACCCCGGTGGGTCGGCCGTCCCCACGAGTCATGTACAGCTCCCGAAAGAAAACCCACAACTCGAGTGCCCCAGCAAGTGCCCCAAGTGCCCAAGAAAATGGCAAGAGTTTCCTGACTTTGAATCAGGGTTCTCACAAAATGATCTAGCAGCTAGCAAGCATCAAAAACCAACCGTCGAAGATTCTCCATACCCCTCTCATTCAGTTTGTAAGTAACGTCTCAAGAGAAAAGGAGCCTAAAACCGCATCCCCAAAACCCTGGAACCTCTCTGAGGCGCCCAACCGTGAGCTTTTTTCGCTTGCCCCACCGGCGCGCGGATCAGGGCCACCCGTCCTCCATCTTCTCGGATGCCTCTCCCAGTGGGGTTCAAATGGATGTGATTGGGTAAACTTCCCGTGGGTCTGCAACAAACATATGCATATATACATAAACAGAGTAGTTGTGCGCATGCGCAGTCTTTTCTTGGCAACCTCTGAGTTGGGGCAACAGCTCAAGTGATGCATCTGGACTGGATCCAGCAGGTTCCAACTGCTTTTGGGACCAAGAGTCATTTCACCCCACTTACACCAGGACTGGTCCTTGTCTACCGTTGGTCAGGTGGTGCAGTTTTGGACACACAGTTTGGGGGCTACACTGAATTTTTCAGTTCTACGGTTTATACCATGTTTTACCCAACTGTGGACGACAGAATTAGGTGCGGTGTAAATACCACACAAAAGTGGCACGATCATCTCTCTTCATCTCTCCAGACTTTCCTCCCCCGCAAGTCTGCTGCTAATCCTTCCCCCCCAGGCTGGGGCGATCGATGTCCGAGCGAAGCGCGGGATGTCTGGGGTTTGCTCTGGGGATGTCTCTACGACCCGTCGCGACATCGCCATGGAATTCGTTCGAAGTCAACGGATGGATGGACATGTGTCATCCAGCTGTCGAATCAAGGAAGTCCACCCGCATGGCATACACACAAAATTGTAGGAATCCGAATGCATCAGCCATCATTTCATCAGCTTCAAGGTCTTTCAAACTGCAAAACAACAAAAAAAAACTCCACGATCTGCCTCCAGCGCACACCCGCCACGCCGCGGTGCTCACTCACCGCGCGTTCTTTTGACCGGAGCTCCACCTCATTTCCTTCTCCGCTCCTGCGCACGGGCCACCAAAATGCGCCACCTCAGCAGCAGCACGACGCCGACGCCGACCCATCCGACAGACAGATTCGTTCGTCTGTCACGCAGGCTTCGCCGCGACGAAGAAGTCCGTTTTCGTTTGGAGAGGACTTTCGTTATAGGTTGTTAAATCTATTTATTCTGCAGAAATCGAGATGATATTTCTTCCACACGTTGTTCAGGGTGAACATTCTCACATCGTCGATCCTCCTGTGTGCGTTTGGCCGTTTGGCTGCTTGGGGCACCAAAAACAGTCAACGTGTGTGTGTGTGTGTGTGCCAGACCCATCGACTCAGCTTCCGGCTGCAACCAAACCCATCGACTGACCATCTCGCGCAAGGCCGGGCTTTGCAGCAACGAAGCCGCCGCCAAGCCCAGGACCCGCAGCGAGATGCCGATGATTTGAGGAAAGCGCAAGATGACCGCCAGCGGCAGCCTCGACTGTTTGAGGAGGGCCCCAAAAAGAGGAGGACAACTGCTCGAGGGCCCCAAAAAGCCCCGGCTCCACTAGTTCTTCACATAGCAGGCACCAATTAGAAAAAGGATGAAAAAGGGATGAAAAGGGCAAATCACACCTGGACCTCTTCCATCGACCAGCTTGTTCAACGGCTTGATTGCGCCAAGCAACAGCACGGCCCCTGCAACTGCTTTGTGTTTCCAGACGAATTCTTTCGCAGGTGAGAAGTTACCCACCTGAACAGCGCTTGCAGCTGCCGAGGCCTCCTGCCAGGTGGCTGTGGGTACGTCGAACAAGAGGAGACCTCAACCCTAGTTTCTCCCACCGAGAACGAACAGAGTACACTAGGCACTTCAACCTACCAGGATTTAGAGGTCTGGTGTCTTTATAACGGGGCTGGTCCAAAGCGAGAGGGTCCTTGCAACGGAGTTGCCTGGCAATGATCCAATGTTTGGTCCAAGAGAAAAAGTCTTCAAGGGGTCCTTCCTCCTTTCGTGAGAGATCGACACATTGGATCATCTACCCTATCCAGGACTTTCCTTGGCGGGTTCGTCAGACGCTCAAGCCTCCCGACCGCCGAAAACAAAAGCCAAGGTGTCAACAGTAAAGAGTCCTGCATCTGCAGGATGTTACCAGTTCATACCTGCTCATACCTGTTCAATCCTTTACTAACATCCTCAAGTTAACCACCCATCCCACCGGTCCCACACGTCCGTCCTGCTGTACCTTCTTGAGCCGTTCGAAGATCTCATCGACGCCCAGCTCTTCGAAGACCATCCGAAAGACGTCGCTCGGATCCATGTGATCTCCTCCACCCGGCGGCGGCGCCGAACGCCGCGCGCCGCTGTAGCTGCTGCCCGTGCGGAGCGAGTAGTCGTACTGCGCACGACGCTCCACGTTCCCCAGGACTTCGTAGGCTTCGGCCAACTTTTGGAAACCTCACGAAAGGAGCAAAGCGAACAAAGATGCGAAGATTTTTCAGTGAATCTAGGGGTGAGGCAACCAAACTGGTATGGTAAACACTCCAGAAACTCTTGTCCAATAGATTTATTTCCGCGGTGTCTTGAACAACTGTGTCTTGAAAAACTCCCGAATCCGCAAGCACCAATTGAAAAAAACACATGAGAAACCTAGAAATGGCACAGCAGAATGGAAGCGGCAACTCACACAAACAGGAGTTGCCTGAAAAGAGGTGTCAGCCACCTTGAGTCTTCCCGACACATAAGAGCTTCATGAACATGATTCGTCAACCTGACAGAATTCTTAAAAGTCGGAAAGGTCCTTAGACCATCACAACTGTCATAACTCCTTTGAGTTCAAGAAGCCAAACAGCCCCCCAAGAGCTTGATTAAATGCACCATAATGCACCCAATATTAATTATATCACAAAATCGTCAAAAAGTTCATCAGGCAGAGTTCTCATGCTTTGGTCAGTCACTAACCACAAAGTAGTCACTAAGCCCAGAAACGATCCTTGGCATCTTTAGATTGATTCAGATCCGGATGGCACTTCTTGGCCTCCGTCAGATATGCCTTCTTCACCTCCGCCTGCGTGGCCGAAGGAGGCACGCCCAAGACATCGTAGAGGCTGCGGTTCCGCGCCGACGCATAGCCACGGAAGCTAAGCGCCGCCGTCCAGGTCGGGCGCTGCTCCAGCGGTTGGGAGGTGCTGTGTGGACTGAAGGATGTCAAGGGTGAGATCCTCGGGCGCACAGACGCCCACCTCACCGGAAGGGCCTTTGCAAGCACCGGAAGGGCCTCGCGTCCCACGCGCACGGCAGAAGGGGCCGCTGAAAGTACGAGGCTTGGTGTTTCAGCCAAAGGCAAGGCCGATCGCAGTCCATGGCTGCGGAGCAGTCTCTTCATGCTGAGCGAAGGTGAAATTCATGAGATTCCACTTCAATGAGTGCTTGAAAGCTAAAACAATCATTTGTTGGCCGCAACTTTGACACAAACTCCACATGCGGATGGGCCGCCACGACCTTCAAGTCCTTTTGTACAAGTCAGCACATGTGTTCAAGCAGAAGAACCTGCATATATGGTTGGTAGGAAAGCCGCCCAAACATGGTCCAAACATTGTGACAATCGACAGTGTACCTGGCTAAGTAGTCGGCTGTCTATCTTGCCAATTCATAGACTGCCCGCATGCCCTAAGCATCTTGAACCATGGAGTGGCGGACGAATTGTTTCAGCGTCAGAATCCATCAAGGGCGATTAATCAATCCATCCAAAAGCAGTGGCCCCACCATGCTAAGGCCTCACCATTCGAGAAGAAATACCCAATACTGGGGCAAAACCAAACCCATCACTCTAACAACTGTGCCGTTCTTCAAGAAACTCCTCGCCACGAACGAGTTGCCACGTGCAAACGAGAAAAAGACCGCATGAACCAGCTTGAAGTGAAACATCTTGAAACCCAACCCATCTGACCACCATCTTCCAACATGTTCCATGGCCAGGTTCACTTCATGGAAACTCCATCATCGCCATGGTTCCCCGCCCCAAAACGAAGACACCGCGAGCCCAGCCGCCACCTTCGTGGCCACGGCGGCGCCCTGCGGCGCCACTCCTCTCGGCTGTCTGGTCGGCGTCGGTGGAAGCGGCGACGCGGGGACGTGGAGGAGGTGATTTGCACCATGCTCCATGCCCCGGCGCGACCGGAAAAGTGAGGTTGGCACACCCCATTGGAACTATATAACCATATTGAAATAGGTGATCTAAAATGACTTGCACAGACCAAAAGGTCTTTGCTCCACGGCTCGATGCTCCATCCTCTAGGACCTAGGATCCTTGAAGGATCTTCCATGCATCAAAAAATAGCATCAAAACACCGTCATCCTGTTACCAAATCACCTGCGCTATAGGGCAGCCAGGCCATCGAAAACATGGAGTTCGCCCAAAATGGACGCACATGGTCCCTTTAGAAGAACTAAGTCGCCTTTTGTTTGCCATCCAAATCCGTTGGTATACTGGGTTTGCTACCTGCAACACGTTGGACGAACTTGTTTGCACTTCACCCCCCCCTGCACCACGTGTCCGAAGCCTCCCCAACGTCCGAAGACTATACCGCCTTCACCCCACCGACTCCAAAAAATGGCGGCCTTCACCCACACGGCGCCGCCAATTCGATGGCATTCATCCCATGCGGCTCGTTGGGCGTCTCAGCTTCCAGCCACTTCTGGATCCAGGGAAACCACCTGCGTCGGGCTCAGTTCGACACATTGAGCCGCCAGAGCCGCCGGCTCCTTCTCACTAGTATACTTGTATATATATATATATATATATATACTTGTACTGTGAATATGAAAGTAAACTGTACAGGCAGGTGTTGGTCAACTCTGAGGATGCTTTTGGGGCCCAAAAAACGGGGCATGTGCCCCAATAAGGCATGAGCCATAAACACCCCCTCTTACTTCGTGCATCCTTCCTTCACACCAACATCACCACTTAGCCGGAGACTCGGACGACGAACCGCGCGGCTCCTGAGGACGAGTGGTTGACCTCAACCCGCCTGAGGACGGGCCTCATCAGCGTTTGTGGCAGCATCACAAGGACTCCAAGCGGCAGCAACAAGAAGCCGCAGCGAAGACCAGTGCTGAAGGCATACCAGAGTTGCAGGACCCAACTTGACATCGCCGCAAGGTGCAAGTACGAGTAGGACATGGACGCTCTCAAGTCGTTCTCATCGGCATCACTGGGCTGCTTCACGCGAGATAGGGCCAACTGTACGACTAAAAAGTTGGTGGCGACAGCTGCCAACACTGCGAGGCTCAGCAACGGGACCAAAGGACCCCATATCACAGCAACTTCAAGCCAAGTGGTGAGTTGCGCATGTTGCGGCATGGAGTTAACTGTCTTCGCCAACTTGCCTTGCAGGAACTCCAGGAGCCAGGGTGGTAGTCTCTTCAAGCACCCGCGCGTCTTGCGGATGCACGCATGCTCAGAGTTGAGATCGTCCGGGTCAAAGAAGAGGTGAAAAGCTGAGGCCAAAATGAATGGGATCAGAATTGCCTTCAACAGAGTCTTCTTGATCAGGAACGCCCCCATACCTTCAACCACAGACCGGCTACAAGCACCATTGCTGATCCACTTGAGGTCGAAGAAATGAAAGCTGCAAATCTCCTTGAGGGGCTCTCATCTACCATGCTTGGCAAAAGTTACAAGCTGTGATGCTATGATAGCATCCAATATAGAGGTGTGTTATTAGGGTTGCAGGGCCCCTACGGTTGATGGAAGGAGCCCTTAAGCTGGAACACCCACACCGTCACACCTTTTGGAGACTGTGGAGACACCTGGGCCGTCCACCCCCTCCGGTCGCATTCGTTACGGACGTGGTCCATTCCTCCATATAGTTCGATCGATTTCCAGGGGGCCAACTCTTCGCGAGCTTGCGTCCTCCTCTAGTCGTAGTGAACATCATTGCTTGTGGGGTAATGAAGGCTTTCCTGCAGAAACATCCTACCCAAACACGACCTGTCCGGGACTGCCAGTCCGGACTGCCTTCAAAACGGCCAGGGGTGGTGGACTGGGGTCAGGCCATTACCAAGTCAGTATACCTGAACCCTGAACCCGTTTGGCCGGGTCTCCTCGGTAGTGAGAACTTTGTCATCAAAGACCTGCCAATCGAAGCGCTCGTGCAGTGGAGAAGTCTCGTCACGACAGACTCTCCAAAAGAAGGGCTTCCAGCCAGCCGCACAGTTCCTTGTTCCACTGGTGCAACAAGAACTTCGTCCAAGTAGCCAAGCCAAGTAAGAACACAAACCCCGACGAAGGTCTTCCATCAATCATCTGAATATAACAGGTCAAGCAAGCCAGCATTTCCATCTACACGTCCCTTACAACCGTTTTCTGCGAGCTGAAGAGGTTGTGTATTGATCCACTCCCACAAAAAGGACGCGACGGGGCGACGGGGCGTTGCAAGAAAAGCATGAAAAAGCCGAGATTCTCGTGCAGCAGAATGGTTGCAAGGACGGGCGAGAGCCATTCCGAGCAGAGCTTCATCATCATGAGCAGTCGATCTGCCTGGTTACTGGCGCTGCCAGCTGACCACGTGGAATGTATACAGAACCAAGCAGACCAAACATTGTCAGACATATTGGTGTAGCAGGAGTTCAATCCATGAAGCCTATGGCTGTGAAGAATGGAATCCTTTCAATGGAGAACAATGCTGGATGCAACCAAGTGGGGTAACACCACGTTTTTTGGTGGTGGGACAAAATAAACGTATCTGACAGGTCTTAGCACTACAGCAGGATAGAATCAAGAACTCTGGGTTGCTCCATCTGGTACAAACCCATCTGATGAGTCTTCGAAGTTGGCTGGAATTCACGAGCGACCAAACCTCTGTCAAAAATGAAGTTCACATGACAATCTGCAGCACAGATTGACGCCGTACTCTTCAGGTTTACCTCCCCAGCTTTGGAAACGCCACCTCCGTCCGCGCCGGAGTCGCGATCGCATAACGCGCGGCACCAGCGAAGTCTCCGCGGTGCCTTGAGCCCGGTGGCGTTGGAGAAGATCTTGCTGAGAGAGCTGGCTAAGAGCAAGTCAATCACAACGCTCATGAAGGGAGCAGCAAAATGACACACCTGCAGTGCGAGGTCCAAATCGAAGTCGTACCCGTTCTTCTTGGTTTTCGGCAAGGCCTAGGCAGCAAGAGGAAAACAGTAGTGGAGACATAACAAAAGAATGCGGTCCATCCTCGATGCATGAAAATGACAGGATGATGTCTTCTCCTGTGAGATGAAACATACTATAACATACTCCTGAAAATGCAGAGCATCAGGGTCCCAGCAAACTACAATAGAGTCTGCAGGAAACACAAAGCATGTTGATGCATTGCATGGGCTGCAAGGAGTCTCCACTGAAGCAAACCTGGTCATTATACTGTGGTCGATCATAAATGATGTTATCTGTATAGTATAGTCCTCTCCGTCCATCCAAACACAGCCAACACTGCTTGAGAAACCAACCACATGCAGGAGGGCCTGTCCTTGAGGACAGGCCAACCACCGCCACTTCCCATCCGACTCCGCGGACCGCCTCGGACATGGCAAAGAGGATGGCGGGCGATGCAATCAGGAAGCACAGCGAGAGCCACAAGAGCCACTTCACCCACTTCCTCACTTCGGAGCGAGCGCAAGCTGCTTGCGCTCCACTTCGGACAAAGATGGCTGAAGAGAACGGACCGAGACATCTGGAAAAAATATCAGCGCGAAAAGAGGTTCCCACCGACGGGTCCGGGTAGGTGCTAGGAAGAGCAGGAAAAAAAATCACCAAAAGGAAGAGTTTCGTGCCAGTTGGAAGGACTGACAAACAGGTGAAACCATGCCAAAACCTATTCTGATGTCCAAGATCTCTAATGGAACTTCCTTAAGAAAGAGTCCCAGAACAAGAAAAGGACCCACCATTTTCCGGGCTTCGAGACGTCCAGCTTCCAGTTCTCTGTGCGGTGTGCATCTCCTCCTGGCCCCCCAAAAAAATCGGATCTTCGACCCACTCGGCTCACCAAGCAAGTGAAGCACCGCGAATCACCGCGAATCTTCAGAAAACGTCACTGCCCTAAGAATCCGGGCCCTCAAACACATAGGGTCCGACCCCTGCCATGGAGAGCCCAAGGATTCTTAGGGTGAGAAACGAGATGGGTGACTTATCCGAAAGATCAATGTTTCTCTTCAGTCAGTCACTACAACCCACTGACCTTTATGTGCGCAGGCCAAAAGACCATCTGCACGGCGCTGTCCTCCTGGGTATCTTGATTGGTTGCCCTTGAGTGTGATTACCGCCAAGCTGTTGAAGGCTGCCATGAAACACCACGAGATGACGACCAGGCTCTCTGCGGCTGAGTTTTCAACCAAATATGCCGCCATGCTTCGGGAGAGGTTCCTCCCACGTGTGTAGTACCTGCATGTTCCCCTCCCACAACCATAGGAAAATGCAGTCTGCGCCAACGTTCAGAACATCGCCAACCGAAACACCCCATGCGTTTGCCAGGTGTCTTTAACACCCCAACCACGCCTGGCACCCCAGATGTACACAGGCAAAATCCAGAAAGTGAGGGCATTGATTCCGCTGACAATCCGTAAGACTCTCACATAGGCGTTCATCAATCTAATGCCCAGCGCTGTGGGTTTTGCCTGCTCGGGCAAAAACACATTTTCCAGGATCGCTCTCTTCAGGGGCCACGAGATCAGGCCAAGCACCAGGAATTGAAGAAGAATCAGCAACTCACCTGTAAACAGGGGCGTCTGGGTGTTGTAGTGTGAATGGACGAAAAAGAACTGGCATCCAGTAATGCAAGGTCTTTCACCAACAACAGCCACGGGGGCGTTGCAACACGTGCCTTGATAGAACACACACTGACGGTCACTGACGCAATTGGTGCTCTCTCACATCAAAAACACTGGGTGTGAACAAAACAATCAACTTCGTCAGCCCACGCAGCCCACGCCGCTCATTTCTAATCAGAATTTTGAGGATGGATGTGGTCGACGAGGATCCAAGCCCCAGAATCAAAAAAGGAAGTTGGAGAATCGAGCAAGGGAGAACCGAGCAATGGCGGCAGGAGAAGAGCAATACTAGTTAGTAGCAGTGGCAGTAGCAAAAGCAGAAGCAGTAGGAGTAGGAGCAGTAGCAATAGCAGTAGCAGTAGTAGTTAGTGTTAGTAGTATGTATTAGTAGTAGTAGTAGTAGTAGTAGTAGTAGTAGTAGTAGTAGTAGTTCGAGAATCGAGAACCGACCATTGAGGATCAAGAACCGAGGCTTGTCAAGCGGCCGGGTTGGAAAGTTTCTGAACCACCACCAAACGGCATCCAACCACCACCCAACAGCGTATAAACTATAAGTCTTCACAAACACGGTGGAGCCTCTGAAAGTATCCGCCGAGTTGTAGAGAAACTCCTGTTCCTCCTCATCATCGATCCACTCCACGTCCAAGGTCTCACCGACACCCAACATGTTCCCCATCACCGCCAAGGCTCGTACGCCCGCCGGGTCCACCGCTGCCTTTTCGCCTGGCTGATGGTCCGGTGCCCGGTGGTCCGGCGCCCAGTGCACTAGAAAAATGGACTTCACCCGGACTTCGGTGGTGAAAATGAATGGATCCCATATTCCATGTTTGGAAGAAAAAGCCTTCAAGCGTACCCAGCAAAGACTAAGAACCTGAAAATGAACCCTGGGATACCATGTTCCTCTACCGAGCTTTAGAACAGGTCGGTCCGGAACGGTCCGGAACGCTCTTCGAGTCACTGATCTGGTCTGGAACCGCGCAGGAGAGCCGGTTGGCATGCAAAGTGATTGATGGTCGCAGCCCAAACTCCAACAAGTACCGCAAGTCTTAGGACAATTGGCGAGCAAACGTCGGTTGTCAATGTGGTAAATGCTTGAAATCTCCTCACACGCGAGACCCCAGTCTTGATTGGCCATCGCGACCTGCTTGCAGGTCTTGCCAAGAAACTTGAACCGATCATTGTCAATGCATCTTTCCCACAGATTCATATTTGGAATCTTGCCTGAGAACTGATTGTTGTGAAAGGTCACCACAGATGTTTGAGTCATCGACAAGTCTGGAAGGTGTCCAGAAAAACCATTGTCGTGTAGAGTCAAAACGGCCAAACGCTCAAAGCCGGTCAGACGTGGAATCGGACCATGGAACTGATTGTTGCTTAAGAAGAGCTTTGTCAAGATTCTGAAGCTACTGGGCCACTCGAAGCAATCAGGAAGCTTCCCAGTGAAACGATTGTGGTTCAGATGTAAGCTCTGCAAATTGGGCATCTGGCAAAGTGCTTCCGGAAAAGCTCCGGTCAGGTGGTTGTGATCCAACATGAGATCCTGCAGCTTTGTGAGATTTGCCAGGCTTGCAGACACCTCCCCAATAAGATGGTTGTGATGCAAGCTCAAAGATTTCAGTTCCGTCAGCGTCATCAAATCTGGAAACGCCCCCGTCAACCCATTCAGGGACAAATCCACGACCTCCAGGTGCAGCAAGCTTTCCAGAAGGGATCCAATAGCACCCTTGAAGCGGTTGCCGCCCAGATTTAGTTCCTTCAACTTGGTGAGTCTCTTCAAACACGGTATCTCCCCCTGCAGGCGATTGTTGTTCAAGAGAAGCCGCGTCATCTCCAAGCCCCAACGTCCACCGTCGTTCGCACGAAGGCGGCGTGTGCGCGGTTCCCGGAAGATGCCAGTCCGCACCTCGTCCACCGCGCTCGTTCCTTCGCGGGGCAACGGAGGAATCGCTCCTTCGAGTTGGTTGTGCGCCAGCTTCAAGACCTTCAAACGACTGCACCTCCACAGCTCTGGTGGAATGGTGCCCGTGAGGCGGTTTTCTGCCAAGGACAAATACCTGAAACCGGAGTTGCAGATCTTCTTGGGGATAGGACCCTCCAAGCGATTCCCTTCCAGTGACACGTATTGCAGCGCCTTCATCTCCCCAAGCTCCGGAAGGAAACCCGACAGGTTGTTGCGCATCACGTAGAGTTTTTCCAGCTTCCTCAAGCTCATCAGTTCAGGCAGCGAGCCGTTCAACTGGTTGTTGGACAAGATCGCGAGTCTCAAATTGCTTGGCAAGGCCACCAAGGGACCCGAGAGCTGGTTGGCCGATAAATTCAACAAGCTCAAGGATTCCACGGCTCTCCTTACCCGTCGAATGTGCGATGCATTCGACACATAAATCAGAGGTGAAAAAAACCTGCCTAGTGGCCTAGTGTCAAACACCTCGCAGTGTTGGTAGTTTAAAATCCCGGAGAGGCACTCGCTTAGCTCTCCTGCCTACAATAGGTGCAGCTTCGCCTGCCAAATGAGAGGATCCAGCACACCAATGAGAAAAACATGTTTGGTCATGTTCCTTGCAACATAAGCGTCGTTACCTTGTTCCACATGTTCATTCGGCAGCGGCCACACAAACTCTGGAAATCCAAATACGTTCCGATATTCCTCTGTAAAAAGGGATGTTTTGAGGTTCCCTTCCTACCTTCGTCATACTTGGATCCTAAGTTTGACCAGGTTTCAAGTCTGGAATGGGCCCCGTGAGCTGATTCTTCTCCAAATGGATCGTGCGTAGCTTCGTCAAGCGGCTCATCTCTGCTGAGAGCTGCCCCGTCAACTTCTGCTCTTGAAAATAGATGCCGATCACATGGCAAGCGCCGCCTGGGCTGCGAACATGAATATCTTCGACGAGTTTTCAGGGCCAGCACCCTGGTTTTGAAAAAGTAAATATAAAACAGTTGGAAAAAAACACCCTATAGGCTTAAATTACATAGAAAGCTGAAGTCAACTTCCTGAAAGCAAAGTCGGAAGCGTCCGAGCCCTCGGAACTTCACATGGAATTCATGATCGTTGATGCGATTGCAGCTCAACGCCCCATTTCTAATCTGCTCTTTGTAAACTTCATAGCGGAGCAGCTTGTTTTTTGGCAGGCCGAGCGTTTTCAAGATACCAGGCAGAATATCCATGTCTGGAGACAATGTGGCATCCAGCAGAACATTGGATAGCACGAGGCAAAGGCCAAAAAGAAGCATCACTCCTTTGGCCTGAGGACGAACGAGCTGGAGGGCCCTTCGGTGCTTTTCTGCTCCAGAACAAGGACACGTCGAACAGCAAGGCATGTACGTCCCATGTCCTACAGACTGGCCCGCCAGGGTCAATTCCTAGCTTTCCAGATGTTTTTCGTGCATACTGCTTGGGAATCCCATCACACGTGGTGACAACATGTTTCCCTGGTCCTGTTTACTCTTGAAACACTCACCGGGCTCCCTTCGGCCTCACAATGCCACGAGCCCGACCAGGCCCGGCCGCCACTGGCGGCTGGAACCACTCCACGCCACTCCCAGTTGAGCCATTCAACAATGCCCTTGTAAAAGAAACAGAAGGTAACAAAAGTGTCACAGGAGGATGGGGTGAAGGTGGCTCCAGAAACTGTATTGAAATTTCAACATGACAACATGTCTCTGAGTGAAGTGACTGGAATTTCATTGGCTTTGGTGGACACCAGGCTTGGTATGGCTGCAACCAAATAGGGTCAGCAAAGATGTACCGCGTGAAAAGCATTGAGAAGCACCACACCCCAAAGGAGACAAATGAAACGAAACAAAAAACACATGAAACCAGAAACTCTTGAAATCAAAAAACACTATAGCTATAGTCACTCAACCGCTCTTCATAGGGAAAGAATGAAAACCACTCGGCTGAGCGGGGCTTTCCCCGTCACCCACCATCAGAACCAACAGGTTACCAGGTACCACAGGAGTGTGAAAGCCACACGAAAGCCCCTCAACGGAGGGATTCACATTGGGTCTATTGCATGACCCACCCCCAGGGGCTAAGCCAGGGTTGATTTCGGGGAGCGCTTGATTTTGCTAGTTTTCAGGTTGAAGAAACCAAGCAGCCAGGCAAGCACTCTACAAAAAGCTACAGACCATCGTTCAGTGGAAAAGGAATGATGTCACTGAAGCTTTCCAAATCCCTGACTTGACATCGCATCTGAACAGATTCGGCATGAGGTGATCTATCTTTTTCTGCATTCGGTGCTCGGGCATCCTCCCTTCCGTCAGTAATCGGAGGGATTGTTGTAAGTGTTGCTACAGCTCTTCGAGCACTTGCGGCAGCTTCCTTGAAATCCAGTCGACGCGACCCACTTGCAACCATACCGTCCTGTACGTTCTCGTGCGATACCCTTCAACACCCATTCGCACTCATCCTCATCATCCGCCGTCCCGCAGAAGGGGTCCACCTCCATGCAAAAGCAAGGCCCCAAGTGGCAATGATTCAGACCCCCCGGAGGGCAATTCGGCGGCTGATGCCACTTGCAAATCCCCAATCTCTTCTGGTTCAAGATCACGCCACAACTGCCATCGGCCAAGAGGCTAAAATCCTTCAGAGGCCACGCATTGTAGAACTCTTGGCAGCCCTGCTGGTCAGCTTTCCGTGAGCCTGGAGGACACCTGAAAAGAAGGCGCGGCTCAAAGCGTCCAGAAAAGGCTCAAATGCGTGGAGAAAGCAAGCGAAGGAACCCCCCCTAACAATCTCACAACCAACCACTAAAACCCCCAGGAGAACCTTCTGTGTGTTCGAGTGGTCAACCAACATCTAAGATGGATCTGGATCTTACTTCTACCGTTTCACTGGTCGAACAATGAGTTTAGAGCCCACCAAGTCTAGAGCCCACCACTGCTACGGACGGGCTATCGTCTCCTCACTGCTTTCGGCCACTGCAGCCGTCAGGAGGAGAACCCGGTGCATTCGCGTGGCCTCCCGGCCTCCCGTGGACGTTCACATCGATCAACACGAAGTTGGGCGTCGTTTGGACCTCCACAAGGTCAAGGCCATTCTGGAGGTCGTGATGTCGAAGTGACTCAACGGCTTTCAGGGCGATGTGGCAAAGGAAGAAGAACCACCACGTTCTTTGCCATGGCATATGGAAAACCTCACAGCGGCTGGTGAGCTGCTGGTCAATGTCCTTTTGGGGGGGCAGTCGTCCACAAAACCAAATGGAACGCAAACCGTACAGAGTTTGTCTGTTGAATGCGGGTCAACACCACCAAGCACAGTACGAGTAGTTTGCCCAATTTGTTCCAATTCCTTTGGCTGAAGGTGCTTTTTTTGCTAAATCACTTTGAAGCTGAGGGTTGACACCCTGGTACGGTCAGTTCATCTTTCCAATCCTCATTCTCTTCCATGTTTTTACAAAAACAACCATGTCTGCGTCGTCGCTGAACTGCAAGCAAGACACCACCGCTCACCCAGCGCTGGGTCGACGATATATCGCGCGCGGTGGCTCCCGACGTGGATCTGGGCTTGCGGAAGGACCTGGGCTTAAGAAACTCCGTTTCACATGACCTGTGAGCCCAGAAGAAGCAGCAGCGCGAAGTGAAGCTTGGATCAGGTCCATCCCAAACCCAGAACCCAAATCCAGCTAGTCATTGAGAGAATCGGAATTAGTGAGTAGGACACGACATCCTAGACATGGCTTGAGATCTCCCGTTTGCCACCTCAAAGAGAGCTGAAAAAGCTTGGCAAATGAATAACGCCATGGCAGGCAAAATGTTCCACCTGATCATGCACCTCCCACCCCAAAGAATTCCTTCCCACCAAACACTGCATCCGGACGGACGCTGAACCTGGTCACTGAAGGGGCGACAGTCGTTAGGTGCTTACCGAGGTGCATTCACATCAAACACAGAAGCCCGCCTCCTAAAAGCTCTCTGCAAACATATTTAGGTAAAACATGATAAAACCATGGACTATGTAAAATCCTGAGGCGCGCCCAGCGGTACCAAAAACGAACCAAATCGATTGGTCTTGACAAGGAAAGGTCCATCGAAAGAAAACGGCCCTCATCGGCCGGAACAGCAGACGCAACTGCATGTCCGCTTGGCCGCCTGCTTTTGTTTCCCAACTGCAACTGAAACGATGTTGAAACGATGCTGTTGTTCGTGCTTGGCCGGGCTACCTGTGTCCTACCTACAGCTGCTTTGATAAACAGTAACCCTTTCCTTTCCTTCTTCGACCAAGCACCAACACTCCTCCGGCGCCCCACTCGTCGGGCACTCCGAACCTCCGCGCAGGTCGCGTCGCGTCGGGCGTCGTCGGTAGTCGCCAGGTCCAGAGGAGAAGTCCATAGGGTCCCTTTCCGGTGGAGCGTCACCTGTTGACGGTGGACCGGTCCTTTTTGCCACTGCCACTAGAGTGATGGAGGTGAGTTGTGGTACATAGACCAGGTTGTAGTTCCACAAAAGAACTAGACTCGGAAAAAAGAACAGCTTCACCTGCTGGGTCTGTTTCTTCGGCATAGCTGCTTGGATCGAAAGACGCTCTATACAACCTGCTGGGTCCTGGGTGGTTCAAAACAGCATAAAACAGCTCTTCCCCCTATATCCTCTGGGGATGTTGTTTTGAACAGGTCGATTCAACATGGAAATGGAGGTCTTTCTTGTTCCCAGGACTTCCGGGTCATGTCCGTCGTCTTGTTCAGAGTTCGGTCTGAGAAGCCCAACGGAAGAGAGGAACAAATGGTGCTGGGCGGAAGATGGTGAAGGGATCCCTGTTGGGAGGCATCCAGCTTCCAAAATGCTTGAACCGCCCCGGAAAAAGAAAAAACATGCGTGAAACCCATGTGTTACACTGGGGTTGGTGAATATTGGTGGCCCATGTCATGGCTATTGGATTGACCATCCAACCAGTCGATCGACCCCAACCTTGGAGATCACATCTGCCCCTATCCCAACTGGGAGATTCGTGACGCCAAAAGAAGGAAGTCCCACAAAAATGCACGGCCCGCGATGACCGTGATTGGTTGTTTTGGACCATTGGTTTCCGAATGAGACCCTCCCTGACTCGGAGAATTGCAAAGCAATCAATGTCACCCAGGTCCGTTTCGCCATCAAAACAAGTCTGCACCCGTTGACATTGATGAAGGGTTTATTCAGCCCTTCATTACAACCTCTGACAATCTCGCGCGAGGTGCTCTAAGCTTAGCGCACAGTACACGTTTTTCTTCTGAGTTCTGCGGGCCACAGGGAAGAATTTCTTCCAGACGAGAGCTCCACGTGATAGACTGGACTGGAGCCAGCAGCTCCTGCCACCGACCGGGTGGCACACGGCTTCAACAGCCCGGCGGCTCACCGACGGCTTCAACCGGGACAGCCGAAGATCCGCCGCGTGGGGCTGCCTTGCAACGTGGCCTCCAGCGCAGCATCCGCAAAGGGAAGGAAGTGGCGCCAGCCCGGCGTCCGCCGCAGCTCCTCGGGCCGGGTGTCCGCGAGCGTGTCCGCTGATGGACGGTGCTTGGCAGAGAAGTGGAGTACATCTTTGCGCAAGGAAAACACGAGGGATCAAGGCAAGTTGGGTAGACCCTGGGAGTCAAAGACTATAAAAAGAATGGTCTAACTTGGTGACCCGAGTGAAAAGGAATATCCTTTACACCAGTCGGTCAAAATATAGTCGAACTGGTCTTTGGACTTCTAGGGTAGAGAGTATCAAACAAATCAACACACCAAATGAAGAATGAACCCGGGAAGTCACAACGATGGAAGAATGGGGAGTCAAACGAGACGACCATTGACTTTGCTCCGCCCCCATCCCCTCGTATAGAGGATCCGGCATGAAAACATCCAACACATTGATCCGGCGTCAAAACCGTTCAATCAATTCAGCCGTCTTCATCTTCAGTGTCCAAAAAATGGTTCACCCGCCATATTCAGCCTATGCTCCTGCCCTTCGTCATCCTTCATCTTTGATTCTTAAAAACCAAAAACACCGAGGCTCCGCGTGCAATCGCTTCTTCTCCAGCTTCGCGGCCACGTGCGTTGTCGCCCGGTACACGAATTTCGCCTCGTCCTCGCCCGGTGGAGCCGCCGCGCAGCGGCCGCCGCGCTGCAGCGTTTCGCGGCAGGACTCGATGAAGCTGGGCGAGTGGAGCTGAGACTCCTGGAGAACAGGCGCGTGATCAACGACGGACGAAAAAGCACCCAGTTCAGGACTTGTGAGTACGTGGTGATCGAATGGAAACATATCATGATCATATATGATCATAGAATTATATATTATGTGCTTCATGCATTCTGTTCCCGATTGCAGGGACCGTGGACCACTTCGGGTGTTTTCGATGTAGACCTCTACCACCAATGGGAATGAAGGAATGGACCGCCCCGGTCTCCTCGAGAAACTGCCGAAACTCCGGAGGCGCATCTGCAGACTCGTCCTCCACTGGCCGGGAGAAGAAGAAGCGCGCGATGCAAAGGAGGGTGCCGTTGAAATCCTGTCGGAAGCTTTCCATAGGAACCTGGAGCACATGGTCCAAGTCTCGCCAAGCATGGGCGTTTTCCAGCATCTTCAGAATATCCCAACGGCTCCTCAACTGCTCAACCTGCAAGCCCTGTTGGCTCGTGAGATTCTGCAAAAGCTCACTGTAGCTGCAGCGGAAGCCACACAGCCGAAAAATGTCGGACCACGCTTCATGATCACAGCTTAAGCAGTCCGGAGGATTTCGAAACCTCAGCCATTCTTCTCCTGTGGTCAAATTTTGACGGTGATAGATATAGCCAGACAGAATCATATCTGATGGTCTCCGCACCAAATGAAGCAGCTTGCCTGCACCTGAAGAGTTTTCTGGTGCCAATCACTGGTCTAGGCCGTCTAAAATTGTCGGACACCTCACAGGCAGGCCGCCTAGTACCCTCCAATCAATTTCTTCAAGTTAAGAGTTTAAAAGAACACGAGAACTTTATGAAAAGAACTGAACAGATTCAAAAACCGGAAAAAACACAACTCCTTCAGGACCGCAAAAAACGGGAACCAAAACCTCCGGACTCCAGTCCGGGAACCGTCCCACCTTGGCGCATGAAGTCTTGGAACTGTGGCTCCCGCGACTTCAAGGGATTCGAAAAGTGGATGATCATGTCCTGCGTGTATAGGTCGCCTGCGTGCGTTGACGTTTGCGAGGTGCGAGCGGCGAGCGAGGTGGCGCGAGGTGCGCGAGCCAAAGGAGCGACAGTGAGTAGTAGTCTCAAGTGAAAGTGAACGGTCCAGGGGTCACCAAAGGGGTGGTGTTTGGTCCCATCCAGTGAGTGGATGTGACGATCGGGCACCCCACTCTAACCTCCATGGAGTAGCTGGGCCCGTCCTGTGAGTCCTGGGTTGCTGTTCCTTTTTGGGGTGTGGTTTCGCGGCGGACGGCTGGCAGATTCTGTGAGAAGATCCCTCACCAGCCGGGCGTCCCAGCTTTTTGGAGGGGAAAGGAATGTCATGGGAAACAAGACGAGACGGCGCGTCTCACTGGCTGCTCTGCCAGGTGGCTGAAGGTTCGGGTGAAGGCCTGGAAAAAGGGCGTGATCACAGGTCTGCCGCCCCTGGGGCTATTGTGGTCCCCGAACTTCGTCACGTGGAAGTCATGTGGCACCATCACCTGCGAAGAAGCCGTGATAGCAGGGCCGCGTGGCAACACCAAGTAACATGGGCTTCGACAGACTGACAGACCCGGTTGAACACACAGTTTGCCAGGTTCCGGCGGCGTACAGATCCTGCCGAAAAAGAGCACGGAAATCAAACGCTTACTACTAGGAGCAAGAAGCTACTAGGGGCTCCTGGCCGTACTACAACGGGCACCTTCTCTTCTGGATCCTTCAACAGCAGCCGCGTCAAGGGCCCTGGCACCACGTTACCCACGAGCTCCGTCGAGAGTGTCACGCCAGATTTGTGGTAGGCCATGATGCCCTTCACCTCTTCGACATCGTCTCGATCAATCGCATCTCTTCACCGTTTGGGAATTCTTGATCGAAACCGCGCAACCCTAGGCCCTATCTTCTGACCCCCTTTTTGCAACTGGACCAACCAAACAATACCCAGTGACTTCAAACTACTTCAAAACCGTTCTCCCTTTCCAAGTACTTAGAAGATAATGCCTAGAAGATGGTCTACTTGTAGAGCGCATGCCTTCATATGTCTTACGTTAACGAGACTTACCATTTTTCCAAAAGAACCACCCCACCTGATTCTGAACTGGAGGTCTGGGACGGTCTTCTTCCAAAACCTGTTAAAAACGAGGCTGACAATCGAGGATGTCGGAAAGACAGACCGAAAAAATCAAAAAATAAGACTAAAACACCACAAGGCACAAAAACACAAGACATTTTAACTGTACTCATGAATGTTGGAGTTCGATAGTCCTTTTGTTGTCAGGATCTTGTTCTCTTCTCAACACAAAAGCAAAAAGCCCTAAGACTCAAAGCACGAACAAATAAGGAGAAGAACATGGACAACGATCACAAGAACAACAACCGGGCGGGTCATCGGAGTCATCGGGCTTCATAGGTGAATTTGAAAAGCCTTCACAAAGCAAGAGAAGTCGTGGATGTTGCTGTTGAGTTTCCCCGTGGCGTGTGAGTGGCATACAAAGATCTTGCGAAGCGGAGGCTTTCTCGGTGGCGGCCCGTAGCCTGTTGTGTGCATGCATAGCTGGTATTTCTAGGCAGTCTGCATATTTGGCTTTACAAATACTCCAGGATCTGACCATTATGTCCGATAATCACAGTACGTACCAGCTCAGCGAAGTGAGCACTGCAGCAAAACGGATCCAGAAGCAGTTGATAACTCATGGCAAAAAAGACTCGCGACAGGGCCAGGCCTGCAGAAGTGCTGAACAGATTAAAACGCTTTTTCTAAAGCTGCTGAAAATAGACTGGCCAAAACAACCAAGAACCTGCAGAAATGATCTGGCAGTCCAAAGGGGGTTCCTCAAAATTCTCCGACAGCGGAAGTTCACTTCGGTATGGCAGGACTTGGCGCAGTTTCTCGGACCTGGGCGTTGCAACCACTGGGTTTCACTGGATGTTCCATGGTTTTTCTACTGGTCGCCCTGGTTCAAAACACATCGATGTTCGCATCATCCATTTGGTTGCACAGTGGCCCGTGGTGGTCCTCAGCTTGAGCCCTTGAAACCGAGAGTGTCCAAACGCGTGGGGAACGTCACACAAGCGCAGCAGCAGCATGGCGACATGCAGCATGGTGTCTGGATGGGCGACATGCAGCTGAGCATGTCGCCTCACGAACAGCTGGTCGACCGTGGTCTTGGCACGAGGAACACGAGAACGAGGAACACTTACGAGGAATTGCGCAGCTGCCAATGTCAAGTGTGCTGTGTTGGTTTCCAGGGTAGCGCGTAGCTGGTTTTTGCGATCCTCTTCAGCATCCAAAACACAAACGAAAACCATGTGCCAACACAATGTGAGCAAAAAGAACACAACACAAAAACGTTTTGACATCGAACAACGTGTTTCGTTGGCCGTTCACGTTCGCGTGCCGTCGTTCACGTTCCGTGTCCTCGTCGTCAAAGATGGACAAGGCCAGCACCTTCCAGGCTGCCTTGAAGTACGATGGCTTCGATAGATGATGCGCGCAGCAAATCCGCACCGGCCAGGAGGGCCATTCCGGGAAGCACTTCTCGTGGCCTAACGGAGAACGGTGTTGTTTAACGTTGAGCGGAGAAGGGACTCGGGCGACTCCGGCGGAGTAGAACTGACTTATGAAGCTGGCTGATTCACCTCGTGAGGCCCCCAGTCTGAAGCCAAAACAATGGGGGTCGAATGGGTCCGGGTCAATCCAAAGGACTCTCCAAAAGGTGGCGGGCGCCTGGGCAATCTCTAGCATCCTCAATCTAAACGCTTGGCCAACAGTCCGGTCAGTCTTGGTGTAATCGGTACAGTGGTTTCAGAGGAAAATCGATGGCACCCAAAAACGCCAGCCGATGTCAGATGGGGGTTCATATAAACCACCCAACTCGGGGGATTGCACTAGGGGGGTTCTGAAACTGTCTATTTCCGAATGGAAAAAAGGAAAAGCTGCTGGAGCAATCGACTCGGTGTCCCAAGGAATCAAATTTGGCAGGATCACAGCAATGTGTAGCAAAGTCAAACTGATCGATGCTCTTCCATTCCTCATCCAATCACTGATCGAAGTTCGGGAGAAAAACACGGTGCCACCTGTCGAAAAACGGTCACAGGTCCAAGTCACTTTCAACTCGCTTCCAAAACCAATCTCATGCAAGTTAGCTTAAGCTTAAGTCTGCATTATGTTTGTTTTTTTGGGCACAAAGAAGGATTCATACATCCGGCACTTGTGGATTTCGTCCTTTCTTTGACCCACACGTCCAAAGGCTCTGTCCACTTCGTCCAAAGGCTCCGTCTTGGTCTCCAACATCCGCGGCGCTGCCTCGCAGAACGCCACATCCAGCTCCGCCGCCGCGTGCCGCGCCGTGTGCCGCGCCGCCGCCGCGGAGGCCAAGCGGTAGCGGAGCAGTTGCGGGTCCAACAAGCCGCTGAAGTTCCTCACAAGTTCCAACAACGCTCCGGTGAGTCGTGCGGCGCCTCATCCCAACCGGTCACCGGTCGAAAAAGGGAAGAAAAACCGAACCCGGCGCCCCCGGGTAGAAAGATCGAACGGTTTGTTGACTCTTGGCGGACGATTCATACATGGTACACGGTGCGGTTCTTTTAGATGAAGTAAACTTTTTCTCTGACCCAATGGGAATGTTGTTTTGTAAACTGTGCAGTCCCATTGTTGGCTTTTGGGATGGGACGCGCACACGAGAACCAACTTCTCTTCGGGATGCGCACGCGGTGAAGCAACGATGCCCAGATTCTTGTGGAGCCACATCGCCCCAAGTTGGAGTACATACCCCCCGAAGACCAGGACTTGATTAGGTCACTAGTGAAACCACAAGGAAACTGCATTCTCCAAGGAAACTGCATTCATTTTCGAGTTGTTCACTTTTGGGGGGACCGGTGTCCCACAAAAAACAAAACCACAACACGCATAGCGTACTTCTTGGGGGAAACAGTTCGGGGGCCAGCGGCACTTAACCAAGTGCAAAGACCACAAACAACCCGACGACCCTTTTAGAAGCATCCCACAACGCTGACGTGCAAACACCTGATCAGGCGTCCATGGGATTTCTTGCCATCACGACAAACGGACACTTTCTGATCCTTGCTCAGTTTCCCCTTGATGGTCAAGAACTGTTCGCTGAGCAGAGAAACTAATTGCCTTGTATTAGCGATCACCTGGGTGGACGCCAAGTGAAAACACAACAGCAGCGGCCAAAGGGGGACGCCATGGGGCATGAGCCGGCGCACAAGGTCTGAAAAGGTAACTACCACATCAAATACGCTTTGCTAGGTTTATTGAATCGCCCTCAAAAAGAATCTGAAGTGGAACCCTTGGGATCATTATGTCACTGCCGCTTGGTCAACAAACACTGTTGTACTAAATTCACTCCAGCCCGAAGGTCTGCTGCTCGAAGGTCCGCTGGTCTTGCTTGCGTTTGTAGGCCCACGTAGGGTTTCATGTTGCGCAAAGATGTGAACCATGGACCTGTGGATGGCAGCAAAAGTGGATGACCCTTTGATGTGAACCATGTGCAACATGAAGCCTTGAAAGTCTTGAACTTTGGTGTCCAGTTTTCTTTCGAACGATGTCACCAGATTGCTGTATGGTAACCATGTAGTTGTTTTTCAAGGCACAGGCACTGGCCACTGGCCACGAACATTGCCCAGCCATCCCCAGCCCAAGCCTTGCACATGACGAGTAAGACCTCAGTAGGACGAGCCACTAACGCGCAGAACACGCAGGACGATACAGTACGTGCTAACAGTGCGAGACATGTTTATGTTTTGTATGGATTGGGTCTGTCCTGCTACCTGTAACAGAGTCGAAAAAAATTAATTGTATATAATTTGAAAACCGCTGCACCCCTTTTTGGTGCCACCGTTTGGGCCTGAACAGTGCGTCGTGTGTCAACCTGTCAACCTGCATGCTCACCACCATATGACCTTCATGTGTTCATGCTAGATGCCTCAAATCCTGTCACGGCCCTCATGGTGGTGGGCACACAGTATGGACAGGGACGGATCACCTTCTTGGCTCTATTGGCCACGTGTGAACATGTCTCTGAGTGGTAGCATTCACCACTGTGTGTCATCATCCATGGTTTTCGCTCCATTTCGAACTTCACACCATCAAGGCTTTCTTTCAGCCTCGAGTTGGATGCTTGGTTCATCTCGTCAATGCGTGCCTTCAGCAGCACATTCACTTCTTTCATTTGCTTGATCTCTTCATCCAGCCTTTGGATTTCTTCTTCTTTTGCATCATGTCTTCCTCCTCTACGAAGAAGTCGGTTGGTCAGCCCAAGATTCTCTTCTCGAAGTTCTTCCAGCTGACCTCTGAGGTTGACATTCATGTCTGCAAACCTCAGGTACTCATGCATCATCCTGTCCTTCTCTTCTATCACTTCTTTCAGGTATTCATCTTTCTCTGCAATGGCTACTTCTAGCCGCACGATCTGCCATTGCACGTTCACCTTCTCGATGTCGGTCTCATCTTCCACTTGCTGCGGCTGCTCTTCTTCTTCTGGTTCTTGCCTTTCCACAGTCATCTCATTGTGGACTTGTCTTCCATTGAACCACTGTCTTCCTTTCTCCCATAGCCATCTTGTCAAGCTCAAGGCTCCAACCATTGCTAGGCATACCAGTGTGATCAATGGCCGAATCCACCATGCTTCGTCATTCTCTTGGATCTCTCTTTTCTCATGCATCTCTGATGCCTTGCCACCTTGCAGCATTGTCAGAGCTAGGACCAATGCGATCCTTGCATTTCCACCAACTGCCTTTGCCAGCTTGCCCGTGTTCTTCTTCAACTCTTCTTTGGCGTGGATCTCCTCAAACTCTTGCTGGCCAATTTTCTCATTGTCCCCATCTACCATCTTGATGAGGAATTTCAAGCCTTTCATGCGGGCCTTGCTCAAGATCTTCGTGCCAATGTCACTCACGTTGATGGACGTAGGCACTCCGGTGACCCTCAATTCCTTGGCATTCGTCTTCTCCTGCAGCCACAACAGTCCAGCTGCAATGTGACGAGTTCGTCCGACTCCAATCCGACCAGCTAACGCTCGAGCAGCTGAGGAATCACTTCTGCAGACCATGTTGACCTCCTCTCCAGTCAGGAAGGACCAGCAATGCTTCAGGAAAAGTCCTTCGCTGCATCCTCCAACCATGGCCACATATTCACTCTCGCCAGAGGAAAGTGCTATGCATCTCTGACATCTGACATAGGTTTCCATCAGCCCTCCATTCAAGTACAGTTGTACTGAGCTCACTGACTTTCGTGTGGCTTGCTGCCCTGCATAGTCAGCGTCACAGATCACCTCAAGCAGGTTGGACTTGGAGTCATCCTCCCATTCATGCGTGTCCTCGTTGACATTCAGGACACTTCTTCCTTTAGGACCGTGCTCCAGCAAAATGCCTTCGTCAATGGTCCCCAACAAGTAGGAGCTCACATGTTGCATTCCTTCTTGGTCGGCTTCTGCATCAAACTGGCTAGTCCCTGAGCCACGAACTGAATGTCAGGACGATCTGGGGCAATGTACAAGATCTTTCCAACAGCGCTCCTGTACTTCGTCACATCTTCGTCTGCCATTGGCTCATCATCTTTGCTCAGCTTCGTGAAGTTGCTGTCTCCCGGAGTGGTCCGGAATTTTCGGTTCTCCACATTGGTCACCTTGGCCAATGCTTTGATGTGCTCTTTGTCTGGGCGGATCACGATGCCATTCTCGATCATCTCCATGTTGCGCTTGAGGTAGCTGAAGTTTCCTTGGTACAATGGACCACGCTTCTCCACTTTCCAGGACTTTTGTTCCATGTAGCTGATGAAGCGTTCAACTTCTTCTTCATCACCAATCAACAGCAAATCATCGACATGGATGGTGAGGAATAGTCGACCATTGTCTTCATCCTTGGCTTTCTTGTCTTTCTTCATCATGGTCGGCTGCATCACATCCTGCACCATGCCATAGTTCCTGGCCACTGCACAAAATCCCTTGAACCATTGTGCAGCTGCATTCCTCTGGCCAGGCAAATTCTTCTTCAACTTGTATTTGCCGTTGCTGGTCACGATCATGGCCTTCTCATCAGCTGGTTGGTCCATGAGCAAAAAGGCATCTTTGACATCCAGCGTGTAGAGAGCTAACCCTGTTTGCATTTGCAGACGTAGCAACATTCTGACCACCACTGAAGCTGAGGTTGGTGCAAAGGAGTCCTCAGTGAAAACGCTCCATTTGAACTGTCGTCCAACCAATCTAGCTCTCCTGAACCAGCCGCCTTGCTCATCCCGGAATTTCCAGGTGATCACCATCTTGCTGGTGAGGACATAGGAACCTTCTTCGTCTGGTTCGCCATCTTTCACCTTCTCCAGAACTCCCATCTGTTCCAGGCGGCGTTCCTCGTGGCGGCATGCCTCATCATCTAAAGCTGCTAGCTCTTCATCTGACACTTCCGGAGGTCGATCTTTTGCATGCCCTTCTCCTTCTTCATCTTCACTCACATCATTCAGGGCTGACTGCAAGATTTCTTCTGCCAGCATGTCATCACCTCCTGGGAATTCTTCTTGAATTGCTCGCACCTTTTTCTTAGGGCTCATTCGCAGCTTCTCGTCATCCTCAGCATCCCAAGGCAATGAAAACAGTTCTCTCTTCAATGACCCTTGAGGCAAAGTCATCACTGAGCTGCTTCCTGGTGCATGCTTCTCTATCTCCACGGAGGTTGCTGGCTTGGCTGCTTCAGCTGTCTTCTGGCGCTTTGGGCTCACATCCTCAGAGTCCTGCATGAAGTTCCGTGCAGGTTCACCTTTCATAGACTCAGGGATTGGGAGTCTACTGATCTTCTTTGATGGACTTTCATCCTCAGCCGTTGTAGGGAACGGTCTTGCTTTTGCTTTCTCCTTCCATGTCTGTTTTGTAGTCCCTGGTGTTGCTGGTGCTGTTGCAGGCCTTGCTGGTGCTGTTGCAGGCCTTGCTGGTGTTCTTGGTGCCGGTGTGGCTGGCTTGGGAGTGATCCCTGGTGTTCTGGGATACCCCTCAACTGGAAAGCCTGGTGTCCCTTGACCAAGGACTGGGCCATGGCCATACATGCCCAATGCCACTTCTTCACCAACAGTCTTGGCCTCTTGCTCGATCATCTCATTTCCTTCGGCCTCTTCAACTGCTTCAGCTTGGCGCTGCCTGGCTGCAAAGCGAGACTTCATCAAGATCCCTTGGATGGAGTATTGCCACGGCAGACCTTTGCTGTTCACAAGCATCTGTCAATCAAATTGGTCAGGAAGACGCCTGATTGATCGAGCTTCAACTGCACCTGAACGGGTCAAACAGATGTGGCCGTCACTCCATGCGCTCTTTCCC